ACACGGCACGGCACGGCGCCCTACGGCCTTCGCCGTGCCCCGGCGCCCGGCGCGGGGCGTTCGATTTAGCGATTTTTGTCGGGGCGTTGTGACTGTTCGCGTTAACGTTAACTGGCAAGATGCTTTTTACGATCTGAACGTGGAGCGCTTAAAATATTAATGATTTGAAAATGTAATTGGTAGATCTCTTAAGCAGTTGAGGAGCTTGTGTTAAGTGCTAGCAATGTGTTTTCCTTTTAACGCGCCATGCAACGTGTAATGCCTTTCCTTCCCATTTAGGCTTGCCCGTATTCCCAGTGTCTCCGCACATGAAGAGCCTTTCATCCACCAATGCAAACGGCAAAAGGCAGGCTCAGCCAAGCTGTACTCCAGCCTCGAGGTTGGCTGCCAAACAGCAGAAAATTAAAGAAAGCCGGAAGACAGATGGGCTGTACACAGACGAAGAGGAGGATTTCCAGCATGCATCTCTGCTGCAGAAATACAGCGAGTGTGAGAAGCCATCAGGGAAACGTCAGTGTAAAACAAAACACTTGGCACTGCAGGAGAGGAGAAGGAGGTCATCTCTGACAGGGGATGACACCACAGATATCGAAAATGCTGAAGATAAGGTATCTTTATTTAGACTTAATTGTCCACCAGCCTCTCGGAAGGCAGAGCCAGCCTGCTTAAAACTAATGCGCTGTCATGCATGCAGGGTAGCGGGGATTGCATTCAAATTTGTCTGTGGATGCTTGGCACATTCTGTGTTTGCTTTTTTTAACCCGAGTTAAAGGCACTATTGCAGGGGGTGAGGAATCTTGCGTTTAAAAGCTGTAGCAGGCCTTTCTTAAAATACTAAATACGAGTAGAAAAGTGTAATTCTTTGCTGGCAAAATACAACCCCGTCGCTGTATTGTAAAAACGAGGATTAAAAAGACCCCCACAATAATGGTTTTGACAGGTCACGGTAACGAGGAAAGTCAGGAAGCGACCAGAGCCTACTTCAGACTGCGACTCCTCGCCGGCCAAGGCGTACGAGCAGAAGCTGTACGATCGCCTGCAGCAGGCTCCTGCATTGCTGCCCGCCTCGCAGCCCTCGCAGCTGCCGGTCGCCAGCCCCCCTCAGGAGAGCACCCCGAGCCGGCCCATGCCGCCCGAAGCGCGGAGGCTTATTGTCAATAAGAACGCGGGGGAAACGCTGCTGCAGCGGGCGGCACGCCTGGGGTACGAGGTAAGGGTCCCTCACCGCCCTGCGGGACGATGGGTTTTTTTTTTTATTTCCAAAGTTAAAACCCTCTTTCCAGTTTTGTAGATGGAAATTGTGCGAAGCGGCAGCTTTGAGTGCGGGGGTTGAAATTTTCAGGCCCCCTCTCCCCTGCTGCGTTCCCTTCCCAGGCGCGCCGGGTCTGGGGGCAGGTCGCTGTGGGAATGGGTCCCCACCGCGGCTGGGTCAGCTGGCGGGGACGCAGGGTAAGCAGCATCCTGCGTGAATGAGCAAAGGGTAAAGTTTTATTGCTAACCCTCGCGTCCCTTTAAATGTAAGCCATCTGCAAACATAACGAATGTCTTTTTTTTTTTTTTTTTTTTTTTTTTTAAGTACTCTTTATGGTGATCTTTAATGATCTGTACAATTTTTTGCTTCTGTTATTTGTGAAGACCGTGTAGTTCAGGAGAAGGGTTTTATTTTTTGTCCTTTTCTCCAAGGAGTATCTGGTATGTGACTACAGGATGTAGCACTTGGAGTGTCCTCTTGCACGATCAGATGCATCGTAGGAGCACTCTGCATGCTTCATGCTCGGAGTCAGGAGCTGCTCGGCGTAGCTGGAACAATGTTGTCTAATGAAACAGCCCCTCTGATGCTACAAAAAATCAGAAAGCAACGCATCCCCTAGCTGCGGTGTTTTGAAGCATGCTTTTATTGGGGAAATATAGGCATATAGGTATAAGCGTCATTGTTGCTCAACTTCGGATCTTGCAAAGAGGTGATTCAGTGCAGAGAGCGAGTGTTGCCTTCAGCACGGCTGCAGGGTTCACCTTGGTGGTGAGAGGACCTCTTGGACCTCAGAGCTGGGCCTTGAGCCCCGTGCTGGAAGGTGGCATCAGCCTGGGCCCAGGTGGGGCCCGCACAGCCTCAGGGGTTTGTAGAAACCTCGAAATGCCCTTTGTACAGCTGGAGAGCTTCGTGTGGAGAGAGGCCTTCTCCAGCTCTGGAAGGCAGGGTTTGCTGGAAAGGTTTTGTTTACCCTAGACAAAGGCTTCTTCTAACCCAGGGCACTTCAGCTCTAGGTAGGAGGAGGAGAAGCGGTTGTTACAGCGTTGCTATGGTAATCTCCATAATTTAAATGATTTAATTTCCTACGGACCTAAAATTTCCTATGGATCCAAAATCAAAATGTGCTGTAGCACGTGCTCCAAGCTCAGTGTCTGTCAGGGCGAGTACCGCTCGTGCGTAGCAGGCTGCCGTGGGATGCTTGTGCGCTTTGCTTTCTGCGCCTGTCGTGCGCTTAGTGGGGGCAGCCCTGAAACTTAGCGATGGGCTGAGGCCTTGCTCAAGCAGGGGCTGAGGGCTCTCCGTGTGCTTTGCTGACAGCGGGAGCTGTCTGCAGCGTTGGCCATTGCTGGGCTGGTTGCAGAAAGCTGGGGATGCCCGGGGTCCTGGGGCCCTGGGGTAACCTTGTGTTCCCATCGTCAGCTGGTCGGGGATTTTCTGACTTGAATTCACCCAAAAGTTCAAGCGAACACGACGTTTTTAATAGGCTTAAATATTCCGATTGTTTGACTTGATCGTTCGGCTGGCGTCGACAGCGCGGCAGCAGGTCCTCGTGTTGGCAGGGTGCGGGGCAGGAGAGCCGAGCGGGGCAGGGGGGAGAGCCCGGTCCATGTGTCCCAGCTGCTGCCGGGATGTCTTTCAAGGACCGGAGCGGTGGGTGGCCACGCTGCCCCGCTGGGGCTTCATTTGGCCTGTGGTGAGCTGTGATAGTTTGTTCAGCCATGGAAACTCCGTAGCTGTGTTTTTCTTGCTAGCGGCCAGACTACTGCGGTTATTAGAAAGCTGAATTTCCTCTGTCTCCAGAAAAATTAGGAGTGGTCAAGAAGTTCCAAATTCCTCTATTTTAAAAACAAACAAAAAAAGCTCGTTGGGTCAAGCTAATTTGCTGGTTTGTGACCT